GAATAGTTGAGTCCTTGTCCCTGGGAGTGGTTTTCGTACAGATGAGACCATATCTCATTGTGAGCTCAATTATAACGCTCTTCCGAGCCACCGGGCTCAACAGTCAAGCTGCCCACTCTTTAATAATGTTCAGCTTCACACCAAGGCAGTGTTGTTGTTGTTGTTAGGTGCTGCCTAGTCGCTGCCGACTCATAGCACCCTGTGCACAGCAGAAGGAACGCTGCCTGGTCCTGCGCCGTCCTCACAAGCGTTGTGTCTGAGCCCTTGTTGAAGCCACTGCGTCAGTCCACCTCCTTGGGCGCCTCGTAGTCAGAGAGTACTAGACCCGTGGTGTGTGTCACCTGCCCCGTACTCCCTCCCAAGGTGGAGGCCTTGCTCACGCTGTTCTTACAACTGCAGCTCCCTCGGGAGCCATCGCAGCCTCGCATCTCGAAGGCTGGCTGTGGTGCGCCTCCTCCAGAAGCGAGTCGTCTGGCTCTAGGGTTCTTCATCATTGCACACGCCTGTCCGGTCAGCATTAACACGTGGCCAGCTGACTTACGTGACGTCTTGGGTTCTCTTTTTTTTTTTAAGGTTTTTTGTTTTGTTTTGTTTTTTGTTTTCTCCATTGCACTTTTATTTGAAGATAATATTTGGGACAGTTGTCCAAAAGGGCTGATATTTCCCAATTTAATCTGAGGTCACATGGAACAAGCAATAAACAGTATTTAGGATTTTCAGTTTCTTACTCGATCATCAAGACTCACTGCCTCCCATCGTCAATATTTATTGAGCATTGACAGTGTACTAGGCACAACAGAACATACAGAAAACATTGTCCCTGCTCTTGAGGAGCTTACATTCTAAAAGTAAAAAAAAATTACACCTTTTAAAATGGTATTTTTGTTTGGTGGTTTTACTGAGGAAATATTCTAAACGGTGAGCTTTGGGTATAACTTAGCCCCATCATTATTTAGAGAATAGAGGAAGAGAAAGGCTTTAAAGGTAGACAGTGACAGACCATTCGGGATAGGGAGGCCTTAGAGGGAGAGAAACACAATCTCATCAACTAAGGAGATTTGCTGCAGTAAATAGGATGAGGGAAAGAGTTGATGGGATGCAAGCAAAGGAAGCAAGGTCTCGTAGACATTGAGTGGAGCCAGAAAAGATCATGCGGCCTTTTTCTACATGGCCACCAAGTAGAAATGGTTAGTGACAAAGAATAAGGCTATTTTTTAAGGTTTTTATTGTGGATTGAGTGAAAGTTTTCAGGGCACATCATCGGTTTCACATTCAAACATTCATATACCTTGTTTCATTACATTGATTATAATCCCCTCCACATACCATCAGTTAACGGAGTTTCTCTCTATCCTCTTTAGCTTTTTTTTTTTTTTTTTTTTTTTGGGAAAAACTTTGCCTTTTTGGAATTTACAGTCTCGGCTTTTAGGGAAGGTTTTTACATTTATCTGTGGGTATCCAGGGCTCATGTATGTAATTACTAACCAGCATAACTGAATAATCAGATAAGGGACATTTTGCTATGTCTGCTAGGTGGCTAAAGTCTGATCCTCAGAGCCTATGGTTCGGACGGTCAGCAACGTTTGGGCCCACTCTAGGTTTTCTTTTTAACCGTTTTAAAACACAGCTTTGATTGTAAACTGGGGGACTTCAGTTT